GTGTCTACACATTGTGAAAGCTTGCCTAGGTTATGAGGTTAGCTCAATGCAAATTCATATACATGCTCCTAGGTCCAGGGCATATTCTTGATCTATAGCTTATTCATTTCCTGTACTGATGACACATGTGTTCAGTATGTGGCAAATGGTAACAGATTACATTTCACACATATTTCCCTGAGTTTTTGTTTCCTGAGTATTCCTGTTTCAGGCTAACAGCAATTCAAACAATCACTGGCTTTATCAGGAGCCTTGTGAAATAAATCAAGTGCTATTTGCATGCAGCAAGCTTACTAGATACGCTGGTAACAATGGTCTCAGTGATGCTCTTAGCTGACAAGAAGATAGTTAAGAAATCCCTCTTTGATTTTTAGCTGTTCTCCAAGCTTATCTTGTAAATAGTAACACACGTTTCTGTCTGACATCCCGAAGAACAGTGTCACTGATTTGCAGAGGGCATAAAAAGTTCTTGTGAATTGTTATTATTTTTATTGATGGCCTGCCTTTCTTCCCTCTGCCTGTTCACTGACTCTTCCACATTAATCGAGTGGACTGGCGTCAGGAATTTATACCTAGCTGTATGGGTAAAGCAGATGAGAGGAAAGAGAAGCTGTGCAAATTGCCTCTGAAGGCGACATACACACACACTGGAATGTATGGGCTTATGCTGACATGCAATTAGAAAAGGAAAGGTAAATTTGGAGCAATAGTAGCTGTAAGATGTAAAACCATCCTGGTGTTAGCTAAAGGCCTAGGCGCTCTCTCTAGCAGTAGCTCAGCTCCCAAGATGATCAGAATTCCAGGAGGAAAAGCCCACGTGCAGCATGTACACATCCGTGGCATCTCTCGGGGGTCAGAGAGCAAGAAGAAAGAAGATGGGGGAAGCCTGGCCTGCTTCCAGCTCACATTTTCATTTTGAACAAATGTGTGTAAAGAGTTTACACAGAGTCCCTGTAGAAGGTGTTTATTTGCTCAGCTTCAAAGGAAGCTGCCACAGAAGGGCTGTAATGAAATCTGGTGCAATTATCCCTTTCAAAGCCAAGAATAGGCTTTTTTTACCCTTCTGGAAAAGACTGATGGCGAGGTGAGAATGGACCTGAACAGTCCTTATATTGAGGCATAATATGCCATCTATCATTTCCATTTAGGGGAACTCTGGTCTGTCCTTTGCTTTCTAATCATGAATGGTAGGTACAGGAGCCATTTTGCTTGAGGAGCTGGTCTGCACTCCCCTAAGCCACAGCTCTTGACATGTGTTTGTGCAGGCTGGCTGTAGGCTAGCTCTGATTCATGAATTATGGTTTTATTTTCCTTTTATCATTCCCTTTGGTTGAAGCAGTGTCGATAAATACCATATCACCTAAACACTGAGATAGTGGAAAACAAGTTAGGAATGCTGCATGCAGGCAAATCCCTCCTGCTTTCTCCCTGTCTCTCTAGGCTCAGATGCTTCTATACAAACGCCTGTAGTATGGGGAATAAACAAGAAATTAGAGATGTGTGCATGTCTATGGGGATATATCATTGGCATCACAGAAACATGGTGGGATGGCTCCTGTAACTGGAGTGTGGGAATGGAAAGCTATAGGCTCTTTAGGAAAGACAGGCCAGGCAGATGGAGAGGTGGGTAGCTACTTGGAGGGGGAAAAAGAGGCTTAGGAAAGATTGTAGCTAGGACAGGTGGCCTGGGAAGAATACAGGGACATTGTCCAGGAAGCTAGGGACCAGGTCAGGAAAGCTAAGGCCCAGTTAGAATTAAATCTGGGAAGGGATGTGAAAGACAACAGGAAGGGCATGGAAATGCTGGAAGAAGTCCAGAGGAGGCCACGAGGATGATCAGGGACTGGAGCACCTCCCATAGGAAGATAGGCTGAGAAAGTTGGGGCTGTTCAGCCTGGAGAAGAGAAGGCTGCGTGGAGACCTCATAGCAGCCTTCCAGTATCCGAAGGGGGCCTATAGGGGTGCTGGGGATAGACTCTTAATTAGGGACTGTAGTGACAGGACAAGGGGTAATGGGTTAAAACTTAAACAGGGGAAGTTTAGAGTGGATATAAGGAAGAAGTTCTTTACTGTAAGGGTGGTGAGGCACTGGAATAGGTTGCCCAAGGTTGTGAATGTCCATCCCTGGCAGTGCTCAAGGCCAGGTTGGAAGGAGTCTTGGGTGACATGGTTTAGTGTGTAGTGTTCCTGCTTGTAGCAGGGGTGTTGGAACTAGATGATCTTAAGGTCCTTTTCAACCCTAACTATTCTGTGATTCTATGAACCTAATATACACTTGTTTCCAAGCCTCTTTTCCCCCCCTCTATCCTGATCCAGCTGGTAAATAGATTAGGCTGCTCTTTAGAGACAGAGTCTTTGGAGATTAACACGACTGAAGAAAAGATTATAAAAAGGAAGGGGGGAATCATTGCACTTTTACAGTGAAATCCTGCCAAGAAACAAGCACAAAGGATAGAGGGTAGCATATGTTTGGAAACCTTGGGATATACCTACACTACAACTGGCAGTGATACTGACTTTTATGTTGATTTAACTGAAGCCAGCTGAAGGGTTTGCACCACAGGCTTAGCATGGACTTCAGTAGCTAAGGAAGGATGCTGAGGATGCTCATGCCATCTGAAGTAGCCCTCAGCAAGGTTACTACTGCTGACACCGAAACTAGATAGTTTGAATGTTATTTGACATGTACCACCACAGTGAGCTCCTGTAGGCAGGCAGAGGCACAGCCAGCTTAAGAAAAACTGCAATGAACCCCCACCAGCTTACTGTGGGTGTATAGGTGATGTACAGTTCAGCCTAGGGAGGGTTTGTATGGTCTATAGCCGGATTTTCCAGAGCCAGAGTTCAAATCCAGCAGTGCTGTCTGTGGAAGCTGGTGCTCCTTTTGATTCAGACAAAAACATGAGTTTCAGCTTTTCAAGTTATGAGCTCCTTGACCTTCTGCCATACAAGTGTTTACTCAGCATGCACTTGGTGTTCACATAAAATTCACTCAAGGCCTTAATCAAAGACCACTGTAATCAGTGTAAAGACCAGAAGGAAAGTAAGCAGATCTTCATCTTCTAGGGATTTCTCAGTGGAAGTTGGGTTCTTAATTCTTTAAGGTTGACTTGAACTGTGTTTAACCTTTAGGTTGGGTTAAACCAACTTCTCTAACTAGCTAGAATATAACAATGTCCTCAAACCCAGTCACTTTTGAGTCACCACCTAAAATGAACAGATATCTACCTAGAGCCCTGTCAACCAGATGAAGTAGCCTTTCAGCTGAGGCTAAAGATGACCTTAAAAAGAAGTCCAACCAGAGGAGAAGCCGTAGCTAGGTATCTACCTTCCTGTGCCACGTGAAAATTCTTGCCATGAATATATATTTCATGGCACCCACAAGATGACTGATTCTAAAAGTCATTGGCAATGGTAGGCATTGAGTGTATGAGTATGGCTCAATGAGTAAATGGTTCTTAAGAAAGCTGTGAGAAATTTAAACCCCAAACTTGGAAAGGAAATAGTTAGCTTTTACAAGGATCAACCCATGCCAGTATGAAGGTATATATTAATCTTTGCAGAATCTTTCTTGATTATCTATTCCAGCCTGGGATCCCTGATATTTCTGAAGTAGTTTTATATTCTTTCTAAGCAATGGTGACAGTGTGTGAAATGCATGTCTGAACCTTAACCAATTAAAGGGACAACTCTTTCCTACACCTCTAGAAATGAAGTGCAAGCTAAATAGACCTTGTTCAGATAAATGACACTGATAATGCTTTTCTAGGCAGTATTCAAATAAGTTAATATCGAGTAAGAAACTCATTGAGCTACTTCCAGTTGACACCCACCTTCCATGGGGATCAACGTTTGATGCAATATCCACATTAAGCATGGCTGATATTTGCCTTTACAACAACAAAAGAAACTTTTAAAGCAGTCATTTGTTAGTCCTTGCAGACATGCAGATAGGAGCCTGCAAGACACTGAAAGATTCCACAAAGGTCAGGAGCTCCTTTTATTTAGCTCCATCTATCTTTTAATAGAAGAACAAGGAGATACTGAAAAAAAAACCAAACAAATGATAATAACAGACTGATGAAAGGCAAAATTTGTATATTTGCTGACCTCAGCAGAATTGACAAAAGAAGAATAAAGAAATTATTAATATCTGAGAATAATAAAATTATCCACTGTCACATTATTCATGGGATAGCTATCTAAAGAAAATCCTTATTCCTGTGCTAGGCCCTAAGCAACTTTCTGCTTGTCTGGGTTAGAAAGAAGCTTCCTTCAAAGGCAATGGATTGTGCACTTATTTACTTTTGTAAGTATTGTAACTTCAAGCAAAGACTCTAATGCTGGCTGCTATTGGATGCAACAAAAGAATGCCTGTTTCTTTAAAACAAATATGAAAACATGTGGCATAGGGTCTTTCCAGTGCTTACTCTCTAGACCTTTCTGTCTGAGGCAGATCTGCAATCATCCTTAACAAAATTTTCACTGTAAAAAATAAAGTGCCTGAATTGATGCATATTTATTGAACACACTTATGCATAACTAGGGTCTCATTTCTGCAGTAGAAGGGCCATTGGGGGTGTTAATAGGCTCTTTGAATCCAGAATCACAATTGATATTACTGTAGAAAAGGTAGGAGGGAGCCTTGATGGGCCACCAGGATTCTCAGCCCCATGTCTATTTGGGTTTTTTGCAGCTAGTGAAGACAGCCTGAAAGAAAAATCTGTGGGAGGTTTATTTTGTCACTGACTGAGTTGTGTCTGTTTCTTCACAAAAATGGAAAACTTCAGTTCACAGCATCTTCATCTAGAAGTGATTTGATGCCAGATTTTGAACAAAATGGAAACACTCTATCAGGTTTCTTATTCATATTCTTATATGTGACTCTCTGATTGCGGTTTCTAGATACTGAACACTTTTAATGTATTACTCAGACTTTGTACCTTATGACCAAGAGATCTGCAAAACATCACATCTCCTAAGACAAAATTCAAATGTTCCCTTAAATAAAAAATATTTATTCCATATTTTAAGTCTAGAATTTCCTTTCCATACTTCCAGTGGACTATTTATTTTACTGTCATATAGATAGCAAGAGAATAAGAAAAGACTGCCCAGGTAGGAAATGATGGCAAACTTTTGGAAGTACTAAAGCACATTGAAACACACATTATCGTAGTAAGATTGAAAATCTAGTCTATGTCTTCAATCCCACAGTAGTGCAGACTTGTACAGAGTCATACTATCCACAGCGGTATATTAATGACAATGATCATTCTGTTTTGAGAGACTTATCAAAGCAACACCCATTCCTTCGTCAGCTCCAGTCACCCCCATCACCTATGGGCTATATGACATCCAAACTAGGAACATTGTATGTATATAGGAAGAATTACATACCTCAGAATAGGATCTGAGATGTGCAGAAGACTGGGGACGTCCTGCTGTCCATGTCGCCAACAAAGATGTTAAACAGCACCAGTCCCAATACTGACTTGGATATCGAGCTGCTGATGGCAACTCTTTGAGGGCAACCATCCAGCTAATTTCTTATCCAGCTGCTAGTCAAAACCATGTCTCTCCAGTTTAGACACAAGGATGTCATGTGTGACAGTGCTAAACGCTTTTCACAAGTCCAGTTACATGATGTCAGTTGCTCTTCCCTTATCCACCAAAGCTGTGATAATGAACTCCACCATTTCATGACCACTGCAGCCAAGGCTGCCCTTGAGCTTCACATTCACCTCCAGTCTTTCCTTGCTGGTGAGAACAAGGTCCAGCACTGCACTTCTGGTTGGCTCCTCTGTCACATGGAGAAGCAAGTTATCATCAACGCATTCCAGAAACATGGATTGCTCCCAGGCCTTCCCTCAAGGCTTTCAAATTAACAAAGGATGTATTTGGAGGATAGTCAGTGAATGATAAAAACTAGAGGAGAGAAACATTCACTCCTTGGCTGGGAAGTTTTCAAACTTGTAGAGCCTAGGGGCTATCTTTAGATGTATAAGCAGCTCCTGTTGAATACAAAGGAAACGGTGTGTCTATGCCTGTGTACAGAAGTTGATCCTGGCCTTAGGTGCTTTAGAAGGATGTGTTTTCTTGCCTCACTCTGAAAAAGAGAGAAAAAAAAAGGCACTTGATTCCTCTTGCTAAAGTAAAATATAAACATCATAAAGCATGTTAGTACAGTCTTGGCGCTGTCCCCCACCCTCCAGCTTTACCTCTTGCTATCTCCTTGTTACTTAAATAGAAAGTTAGATGTAGTACACAACTTTAAAGTAGCCTTATATGGTAATTTTGCTGCAACAGTAAAAAATGATCAGTTTATCTGTCAGACAGCCAAACAACACTTCTGCAGTAATTTTTGCACTGACTTCCAATCTCATGAACATTTGTTCAAAAAGCATGTTTCTGTTACAATCCTCATCTCAGCTACAGTGTCTGAGGTTTACAACACTCTTTTTGAGTGAAAACCAGGCAAGAGCCATCCCTGATAAAAATAGAAACATGGAGAAAACCCCAGTGAAGGAATTCAAACATAGCTTTGTAGCTTGTCAAGGCTAATATAGGCCCTGACAACTCAGAAGTAGGTGATGCACACTTTACGTTCTTATTGCAGAAGCAAGGTGAATGCGAATAAACCAGCCAGTCACAAAACCCTCACCAAGGTGCGTCTGACACCATCATGCACTCAGCCATGCATAGTGATATAAGGAGATGCAGCTTTCCTCTGTCACCTTGGTCCTGCTGAGGGGAAGAGGAGGGCAGCGATTCTACTGGGTGGTGGGAAAGCAATGAGAACAAACCAAAGAGCTACAGCAGGATACAAGTCTATTAAGGGGTGCTTACATAAGGGAAAAAGTTAATTTTGTAAACTCAGATACTGCTCACCTTCATGAAAAGGACACCTTAGCCACAAGACCTTCTTGCCTTCTTCAATCACAGGCATTCCTCTTCGCATGCATGACGGAAATCAGAGATAGTGGAGCTAAACCGCAAACCTTGGTGTGCAGCCCGGTACAGCCAGCTTTTGTTCATGGACTTCATTTTCGGCCTAAAGAAAGGTCACACATCAATTATTGTGTATGGTGCACTTCATTGCGAGATTACTGAACACTATCAATGAGGCTATAATAGAAGTCTATACCACATCAGGAAAACCCAGCAGTTTGACTTAGCTGATGGATGTGTCATCCCTTCCCAATATCCCAAATGCTATTAGAAATGAAAATATCTCTAACAGCTTCAGACATCTCATCTGTTCTTCTGGGTGAATGTACCATTAAATGTCAGTCTGTGGATGTATCATTTCCTGGGGTGGGGGGAAGTAATAGGCTAAATTGTTCATATCTGAGTGAGACACTCAAATTAGAGCAAAGGCACATGAATAAATGGCTCAACAATCACAAATGGCTCAACAGTCACAAATGGCTCAACAGTCACAAATGGCTCAACAGTCATAAACACCAAGCACTCTTGACATTGCAGACTTCCAAAATCTCAGAGGAAGGTCAGCTGTTCAGGGATGCAGCACAACTTGGTATGGGATTGTTGGCAGAAGGATTGAAAACGTCCCTGATTTTCTGCGCTAAGTGTTGGTAAATGGGGTTGCTTTACTGTGTTTCACAGTTTGCCTTTCTGCACTGATACCTTCGGATCCTGGTCAACTGCAGATGATCTAGAGAGTGTGTGTGGCAGGGGCTATTGTCAGAAATGAGTTAATGGCACAGAGACTTCTTTTCTGACTGCTCTGTGCAGAGTGGCTGGAGTGGGAAGAGCTGCACTGTTTTTGCCTTAAACATGTGTTCCAAATGTAAGGAAAGCACATCGAGACTCCTGGGGCATTTGTAATGACATCAGATGAGATTATTTAACCTCAAGAGGTTAACATTTAATAATTAGGTTAGAACCTGCTGTTATCGGACTTGTCTGTCTTCTAACACTAGAAGAAATTTTAAACATCTGTGGAGGCCACAAACTGGGGGGGGGTGGGGGGGGGGGGGTGAGATTGTAATTCCTCAAACACTGGGCAAAAAAATGGATAAGGAAAACATTTCCAAAAGCATCCTGGGTTCACTTAAGACTGAAGTGTTCAAAAATGATGGTTAATACCTAAAAATGAATGCCTAGTGAGATTAAAAAAATCGACTGGAATTTTTGTAAATGATGCTACATAAGGGGTTTTAATACTTAAAGGAGTTTTTCATTCTGGTCTCAAGTTATTTACGCATCTTGAAGACTTTTGGACTTAAGCAGCTAACTCCTTTTTCTCACCTAAATTCCCTCAAGTCTCTAGGAAGGCTTAGCCTGCTATGTAACTAAGGTGAAAGAAAAGGAAACCAGCAGCATGCATGTTTTCTAGTAGACAGGAAAATGGTTTGGTAAGAGTGTTTGCACCAGTCTATAGTGCACATGCAGAATAGGCACCAGTAGATGAAGGGCTAAAATAGAAACTGAAGTATAAAAATCACAGAGTAAGACAAGGAAGTGCTTGAAAAACAGTCAGAAAAGTAAAGCTTGCAGCACAGCTCAGACCAAATGAAACCAGACCTGCACAACATCTGGTCCTCAGATGGTTTGCTAGCAGCTGAGTGGCAGCATGTCTCATAGGCTGACAGGTAGTCAAGAGGAGGTATGTCTCAGGCTGCCTCAGAGGCCCTCCTGCTCTGCTTAGCAAGCTGGGGATACCTGCTCTGCTTGGGGGTACCTGCCTGCAGCTTGGGGATACCTGCTTAGCAAGCTGGGATACCTGCCTGCAGCTGGGGTGCATTGCATGACCATGTTCTCATTCAAGGCAACCCATGAAGAAGAGGCAGGGAGGATGGGAGGAAGGCTGCAAGGAGGTAGGGAGAGAGGTCTGCAGCAGGAGGGAACACAAAGGTGTAAGGTAAGGGGACATGGGTAATAGTTGCAGTAGAGAAAGAGGTGTGTAGGTCACAGATAGGAGAAGGTGTGAGGGTGTAGAGGAGCAGAAAAGGGAGGTCCAAAGCTCCTACGCTGAAGTCTCACCTGTCACTGAGCTGGGGACCCCTGAAATAAACCACAGGGTTATGCCCAGTTGCTTAGACACCCACAGGACAAACAGGACGGGGTGTCCACACTCCACACAATGCTTGTGTCAAGCTGCACTACCTCCCAGAAAAGGACAGCAGCTGTCTGGGGAAAGTCAACAACGCATGGATCAATGGACGTAAGCACAGCCAGCAGCCACGGCAAGGTTAATGGGGTAGCAAGCTGCATGATGTGTATGCCAGGAAAGATCAGATTCCCTCAAATGGGGGAGTCATGGTCAGCCATGTGGACCTGATGCTGCAGTGCTGAATGCAGCAGCAGCTTCACTGGGACCTCTGAGAGGGGGAGAGCCCAGGCACCCAGCTCCACTTTCCTCAAGCCCATGGAGCCGAGGCAGCTAGCCACTCTTTCTTGAGCACTCCACAGGCCATCAGGATGCAAATTATCACCATTTGATCTATTTTTCAGCCACCACCACTGCTGAAAACATTTAGATTTTGATATGTCACAGCTGTGTAAGAAAGAGAAATGCATTTAATTTACTTATTTTTTGACTCAGTTTCACAGATGTGACTACCTTGAATGGCACTTTCAAAATCCTCAGAGGCCTATGAGAAATGGAGTTTGCTGCATTCCGAGTGCCTCACAAAGCCAAAAGACAACAGTCTTACTTTAGACCATGAGGAGAAGAAACAGCAATGTAACTAGGGACTGCTTGGACTAATTTGCCAAGTCACTCTGTTCAGCATCCCAGCTTTGTGCTGGACTTCTTCCACACCGCCTTGCATTATCTCCCTTTCTTCTCGCCTTGTAAAGGTTCCAGTTCTGCACAGATATTCATGTATGTCTGTGAAACTTACAGCAGTTGCTTTGGTCTGTCAGTGTGATTTAAGTTGCAGTCTTCCTATATTGGGGCTCTGCTGTTGCTAACACTCCCATGCTTAACTACCTCACATAGCAGAGTTCAGCACATGTGCAGGAGTTTGCACGACTGGCTATTTCCTTGAGAGCACTTATAAAGAGAATCTATATGAGGGCTATAAATATTTGAAAAGTGGCCAAGAACAAGTTTTGAAACTATAAAAGTAACGCTGGGGGTGAAATGACAACTTCCATTGTCAAGGGGCAGCGCTTTATTACGATTTACTGGATTCTTTTTTTCCCTCCCTAGAAATTAATGAAATGTTTGAAGAAAAATATCGTAAGTTCTGTATTTTCCTGACCAAAAAAAAAAAAAAAAAAAGAAAAAGAATTGTCTTCTTTGTTTCAGGCACTGAAAGAACCAAAGTATACCAGAATAATAGAAGAGTTTTAGCTATGCTTGAGCGTAATCTGGAAGTATTATGCTTATGGCTTAAAAGATCACTCTTTTTAAATGCTTCTGTTTCAGCCAGCGTATAAAAATATCAGGAAAATCAGAATGATCCTGGCAAAGCAGCTTTGTGACGCCTTCTCCATTAAGGTTACTTATTCGAAATCATGCAGAAATTGATTCAACAGAGAACATGCTCCAAGTCATACAATGTCTTTTCTTGCCTAGATGCGGCAAATTACAACATCTGACAAAAACTGCATAAAAGAAACTCACAAAAGATATTGTAGGAAGGAATTATTCACAGAAAAAAACATATGTAAATGACAGGAGAAGGGCAAACAAAGTGTCTATCATTATAAAAAGGGGAGGAAGACAAATTACTGGAAGAAAGCAGCCAACAAACGAGCTGTAAATACATGGAAGAAAACAAAAAGATGAGCCAACAGCCAGTTAGCATTTGTTAGAGACGAGCCATGTCAACTCATTCATCTCGGGAAGATGATAGCACAGCTTTTCCTTTCTGGTTAGGGAAAAGTATACACATCATATACCTTCATTTTAACAAAGGTGTTGGGTTGTTTTTTTCTTTGTGGTGTATCACAGAAAAATCACATGAGCAAGCTAGGGGATCACAGAATGGATGAAACACAGGGGAGTTACAAAGCTGTTTGGAAACCTGTATTCTTATGTGATGTGAGTGGTTTGTGGACAAGTTATGTGGTGATTCTGGAGTTCTGCTTGTGTTTGTTCATGATCCAGTGATACTTCATGTTTTCATTAATGATCTTGTGATCCGAACTAAGTGGAACAGCAAGCATGTCAGAGACAGGGTATGGATGGGTGCTAGAACTGGAGTAATAAAAGGACTGTAATTTAGCAAGACAAGTAGAAGGTACACAGGCAGTAATCATCAACATGAATAAACTCAGGCTGAAAAATAACTGTTTAGGGAGCATTTCTACAGAACAGATCTTAGATATTAGTGAACTAGAAAGTTAACAAAAGCCAGTAATTTCATGTTGATTTGGAAAAGGCAAATGCTGCATAAGAAGGTTTAAGTAGGAATAAGTGAAATAGACTTTGACATCTGTCCAATTTTGGGTAGAACACCTCAAAAAATGTAGGAATCAATAGAAAAGAATCCACAGAGCTCATGAATATAGAAAACCACAATCATTGGCAGCAGATTGAAGGGGTTCTGACTGTAGCAGAAAGCAAATGTATGGCTGACTCTCCAAAAGCCCACAGTAAGGCAGAGAAGCAGTGACAGGCCTACGTTATGACTAGAAGTACTCAGCTAATTACCTTGAATTAGAAAACTTGGTAAAACTGAGGATACTGAAGTGACAAAATAGATTTCATGATGATGACTTCTGCTGGAGGTCTTTCTTTACAGACAGATGAGAAATACTTGAGGTGGAAGAGATAAATACCACTGATCTTCCCTCCAGGGCTTCAAGCAACCTCTTCTAGTAGGCCGCCTACTGCAGGGGGGGGGTTGGAACTAGACACTCTTTAAGGTCTCCTCCAACCCAAACCATTCTGTGATTCTGTGGTTCTATGATTCTATGACAAAGAGTGGATTTCTTGAGGGGATGTATAGGTAATTATATTAATTTCTTCTCTAAAGTGTTTTTTATAAAGCTTCCACGAAGAGTTGAGTTTGAAATTGTTGCGGACTGTTTACTTCCGGAAGAGCTCTCAAAATGTCCATTCAGGACCTGGAT